ACAGCAAGAAGGTCCTGGGTTCGATTCTGCCCAGAGGCCTTTCTGTGTGGAGTCTGCATGTTCTCCCCGTGTCTGCGTGGGTTCTCTCCGGCTTCCTCCCGCAGTCCAAAGACATGCTCTGGGGATCAGGTTAATTGGGGACTTTAAATTGCCCGTAGATGTGTGAATGTGAGTGTGAATGGTTGTCTGTCTCTGTGTGGCCCTGCGATTGGCTGGCGACCAATCCAGGATGTACCCTGTCTATCGCCCGAAGTTGGCTGGGATGGACTCCAGCCCCCCCGCGACCCTGTGTGCAGGATAAGCGGTTTGACAATGGATGGATGGATGGAATTCCAGATCCAACTTTTAATTCAAGCCAAACTACAGATGTTTTTAAAGCATTCGACTTAAACTATGACTCCATTTGCATAATTGTGTCCCTGAGGGTCTAGTGGCTAGGATTTGGCGCTTTCACAGCTGTGGCCCGGGTTCAATTTCCGGTCAGGGAAATCAGATATAAAGTGTTAAATTCCTAGTCAGGGAATTGAAGCTCTAAATTTTAATTCAAGCCAAACTACAGATGTTTTTAAAGCATTCGACTTAAACTATGACTCCATTTGCATAATTGTGTCCCTGATGGTCTAGTGGCTAGGATTTGGCGCTTTCACAAATGTGGCCCGGGTTCAATTTCCGGTCAGGGAAGTCAGATATAAAGTGTTAAATTCCTGGTCAGGGAATTCAAGCTTTAACTTTTAATTCAAGCCAAACTGCAGATGTTTTTAATGTATTCGACTTAAACTATGACTTCATTTGCATAATTGTGTTCCTGATGGTCTAGTGGCTAGGATTTGGCGCTCTCACCGCCGCGGCCCGGGTTCAATTCCCGGTCAGGGAAATGAGATTTAGAGTTTGGAATTCCAGATCCAACTTTTAATTCAAGCCAAACTGCAGATGTTTTTTAAGTTTTTGACTTAAACTATGACTTCATTTGCATAATCATGTCCCTGATGGTCTAGTGGCTAGGATTCGGCGCTCTCACCGCCGCGGCCCGGGTTCAATTCCCGGTCAGGGAAATGAGATTTAGAGTTTGGAATTCCAGATCCAACTTTTAATTCAAGCCAAACTGCAGATGTTTTTTAAGTTTTTGACTTAAACTATGACTTCATTTGCATAATCATGTCCCTGATGGTCTAGTGGCTAGGATTCGGCGCTCTCACCGCCGCGGCCCGGGTTCAATTCCCGGTCAGGGAAATGAGATTTAGAGTTTGGAATTGCAGATCCAACTTTTAATTCAAGCCAAACTACAGATGTTTTTAAAGCATTCGACTTAAACTATGACTTCATTTGCATAATTGTGTCCCTGACGGTCTAGTGGCTCGGATTTGGCTCTTTCACCGCCGCGGCCCGGGTTCAATTCACGGTCAGGGAAATGAGATTTAGAGTTTGGAATTCCCGATCTAACTTTTAATTCAGGCCAAACTGCAGATGTTATGGGAATTCCAGATCCCACTTTTTAATTCAAGCCAAACTGCAGATGTTTTTTATGGTATCCGACTTTAAACTATGACTTCATTATGCATAATTGAGTCCCTGATGGGGCTAGTGGCTAGGATTTGGCGCTTTCACCGCCGCGGCCCGGGTTCAATTCCCGGTCAGGGAAATGAGATTTAGAGTTTGGAATTTACAGATCCAACTTTTAATTCAAGCCAAACTGCAGATGTTATGGAATTCCAGATCCAACTTTTAATTCAAGCCAAACTGCAGATGTTTTTAAGTTTTCGACTTAAATTAAGACTTCATTGGCATCATCATAGTCCCTGATGGTCTAGTGGCTAGGATTTGGCGCTTTCACCGTCGCGGCCCGGGTTCAATTTCCGGTCAGGGAAATGAGATTTGGAGTTTGGAATTCCAGATCCAACTTTTAATTCAAGCCAAACTGCAGATGTTTTTAAAGTATTCGACTTAAACTATGACTTCATTTGCATAATTGTGTCCCTGAGGGTCTAGTGGCTAGGATTTGGCGCTTTCACCGCTGTGGCCCGGGTTCAATTTCCGGTCAGGGAAGTCAGATATAAAGTGTTAAATTCCTGGTCAGGGAATTCAAGCTTTAACTTTTAATTCAAGCCAAACTGCAGATGTTTTTAATGTATTCGACTTAAACTATGACTTCATTTGCATAATTGTGTCCCTGATGGTCTAGTGGCTCGGATTTGGCTCTTTCACCGCCGCGGCCCGGGTTCAATTCCCGGTCAGGGAAATGAGATTTAGAGTTTGGAATTCCAGATCCAACTTTTAATTCAAGCCAAACTGCATGATGTTTTTTAAGTTTTTGACTTAAACTATGACTTCATTTGCATAATCATGTCCCTGATGGTCTAGTCGGCTAGGATTCGGCGCTCTCACCGCCGCGGCCCGGGTTCAATTCCCGGTCAGGGAAATGAGATTTAGAGTTTGGGAATTCCAGATCCAACTTTTGATTCAAGCCAAACTACAGATCGTTTCTTAAAGCCATTCGACTTAAACTATGACTTCATTTGCATAATTGTGTCCCTGATGGTCTAGTGGCTAGGATTTGGCGCTTTCACCGCCGCGGCCCGGGTTCAATTCCCGGTCACGGAAATGAGATTTAGAGTTTGGAATTCCGGATCCAACTTTTAATTCAAGCCAAATTGCAGATGTTATGGAATTCCCGAACCCACTTTTAATTCAAGACAAACTGCAGATGTTTTTAAAGTTTTCGACTTCTTTTAAGACTTCATTTGCATAATTGTGTCCCTGATGGTCTAGTGGCTAGGATTTGGCGCTTTCACAAATGTGGCCCGGGTTCAATTTCCGGTCAGGGAAGTCAGATATAAAGTGTTAAATTCCTGGTCAGGGAATTCAAGCTTTAACTTTTAATTCAAGCCAAACTGCAGATGTTTTTAATGTATTCGACTTAAACTATGACTTCATTTGCATAATTGTGTCCCTGATGGTCTAGTGGCTAGGATTTGGCGCTTTCACCGCCGCGGCCCGGGTTCAATTCCCGGTCAGGGAAATGAGATTTAGAGTTTGGAATTCCAGATCCAACTTTTAATTCAAGCCAAACTGCAGATGTTATGGAATTCCAGATCCAACTTTTAATTCAAGCCAAACTGCAGATGTTTTTAATGTATTCGACTTAAACTATGACTTCATTTGCATAATTGTGTCCCTGATGGTCTAGTGGCTAGGATTTGGCGCTTTCACCGCCGCGGCCCGGGTTCAATTCCCGGTCAGGGAAATGAGATTTAGAGTTTGGAATTTACAGATCCAACTTTTAATTCAAGCCAAACTGCAGATGTTATGGAATTCCAGATCCAACTTTTAATTCAAGCCAAACTGCAGATGTTTTTAAAGTTTTTGACTTAAACTATGACTTAATTTGCATAATCATGTCCCTGATGGTCTAGTGGCTAGGATTCGGCGCTCTCACCGCCGCGGCCCGGGTTCAATTCCCGGTCAGGGAAATGAGATTTAGAGTTTGGAATTCCAGATCCAACTTTTAATTCAAGCCAAACTACAGATGTTTTTAATGTATTCGACTTAAACTATGACTTCATTTGCATAATTGTGTCCCTGATGGTCTAGTGGCTAGGATTTGGCGCTTTCACCGCTGTGGCCCGGGTTCAATTTCCGGTCAGGGAAATCAGATATAAAGTGTTAAATTCATAGTCAGGGAATTGAAGCTCTAAATTTTAATTCAAGCCAAACTACAGTGTTTTTAAAGTATTCGACTTAAACTATGACTTCATTTGCATAATTGTGTCCCTGAGGGTCTAGTGGCTAGGATTTGGCGCTTTCACCGCTGTGGCCCGGGTTCAATTTCCGGTCAGGGAAATCAGATATAAAGTGTTAAATTCTGGTCTAGTGGTTAGAATTCGGCGCTCTCACCGCCGTGACCGGGGTTCAATTCCCGATCAGGGAAATGAGATTTATAGTTTCGAATTCCAGATCCAACTTTTAATTCAAGCCAAACTACAGATGTTTTTAAAGTTTTCGACATTAACTAAGACTTCATTTGCATAATCATGTCCCTGATGGTCTACTAGCTAGGATTTGGCGCTTTCACCGCCGCGGCCCAGGTTCAACTCCCGGTCAGGGAAATCAGATTTAGATTGTTAAATTCCAGTTCAGGGAATTCTAACTCTTAATTCAAGCCAAACTGCAGATGTTTTTAAAGTATTCGACTTAAACTATGACTTCATTTGTAGAGTTATGTCCCTGATGGTCTAGTGGCTATGATTTGGCGCTTTCACCGTCGTGGCCCGGTTCTATTCCCGGTCAGGAAAAAAGATACAAAGTTTTAAATTCCTGGTCAGGGAATTCCAGCTCTAACTTTAAATTTAAGCCAAACTGCAGATGTTTATAAAGTAAAAGTAATTTGCATAATTGTCTCCCTGATCCCCGGTCTAGTGGCTAGGATTTGGCGCTTTCACCGTCGTGGCCCGGTTCTATTCCCGGTCAGGAAAAAAGATACAAGGTTTTAAATTCCTGGTCAGGGAATTCCAGCTCTAACTTTAAATTTAAGCCAAACTGCAGATGTTTATAAAGTAAAAGTAATTTGCATAATTGTCTCCCTGATCCCCGGTCTAGTGGCTAGGATTTGGCGCTCTCAACGCATTCGTTGATCAACGTAATATTCACATGCCACTAAAGTCTTCATGCAGGTTATTTGGTGTCCTTTGTTGAAAGCTGTTGAGATGATCCATGATATATAGGATCCAACACCTTTTAGGCATTCAAGCTCAAAAACACAGTCAAAACTTCATAACTAACTAACCTAAAGTAAAAAATAAGCTCATAAGAGTTCAGTTTTGATCGCAGCAGCATTATTGATGTTGCGTTATGTGATATTGCCACGTTTACCTTAGCGAAAATACAGCATAAATGTCCACAAAGAAACAGAAGAGCTAAATGGAAAGGCAACGGCGCCATCTAGTCCGAAAATCTGAATTGCGGAGTTGATCCGGTCTTCGTCAGCCAACCAGGAAAGAGGGCTTGCCGTGATCTGGACTGAGGCGGATGAGACCAGAAACCTTTGTTCTGTGTCTCCTCCTGCAGCGAGATTTAAAAACAAGAAGCCCGTCAATGCTTTCTGCCAAATTGTGCTCGCGTTTTTTCTGTGTGGGTTGGCGATCGCTCGTGTGCGTTTTAATCAGCGCATAAATTATCGGAAGTCATTCGTTAGTTTTTTTGTAATATATATATATATTTTTTTTCTCCGATCGCCACAACCCGAGGGCGACATCTGCTCGTTTTGTTTTCTGTCAGCTGCTAAATGGAAGGGGGAACTGAAAGTGGAAGCAGTCGAGGTGCGTGTAACGAAAAAGACAAAAACATAATGCTGCCAGATCTCGTGTTTTATCGGTGGGTTTACGGTGACCTTAAATGAACTGCTAATGTAGCGTAACGTATCCCTGCAGGAGCCAACGTGAACCACAGTGAGCATCTCCAGCGCTCGTGTGTTTCCGTCCCTCCGTCAAATCCTCCTCGATCCGCAGCCGTAGTTTGCTTCTAATGTTGACCTGACTGTCGTAGCTATTATTTATATTTTCCGTCCCATTGCTTCCTTGTTCCCCCCCGCTTGCAATCGTCTTGTGGTTTCCACACGATGTGAGTTTGTTGTGAGTTGGACGGATGCTGTTGTCAGCGCACCTGAGAGCAGCATCAGCAGGCATATTGCCATTATTCATCAAGTGCATGTATGCGTAGCGTGATCCTGGCCAGCGTGTAGCGTGTGTGTGTGTGTGTGTGTTTGTGTGTCCACTGTTGACACAGATTGCATGTAAATGCCGGTGAATTATGTAACGTAAGTAAGGCAAACTTGACACTGCTGTTTTGACATTTCTGAAGTGGGCTTTGGATCGTTCGTCCTTGTCTGAACAACACAATTTGGCTTTGTGCACCGGCCTGACAGACTTTGTTCCAGCAGGTCAATGTTTGAACAGCTACTGAATGTATGCTACAGCAGGTGTTATTAGCAAAACTGTCTCCTTTTGCCGAAGCAAAGTAATCACATTAAAACATATTGAGAATCCGGCCGTGTGTGTAGCCGTCACCCTTTATACGTGAACTATTGAAATACATTTCATTACAGTTGTAGATTTTTCACAAGAAGGGGTAGGTGCTATAGATAAGATCTTCTGTTACGGTATATGCTATTGTATTTTGTGATATTTTAATCAAATTACCTCATGTCGTGTCTTTTTTGTCAGTGCCTGTCAACTGTTACACTCGTGCAAAAGTTATTTGTGTTGTTATTCGTGTTGTGGTTACGAAATATTTTCGATCGCCCCACAGAATTCACATGTTTCCTCAACTATTGAGAATAGATGTCCGATTGGGAATATGAATCATGAAACAAATGCAGTCAATAATGAGGTGTGACCTGGTTGTTGGGTGACCTGCCCTTAGTTGTTTAGTCCTGCTCTGGTTTTCAATCAGGGTTTGGGTGATTTGAAACACTTGTTGATGCTTGTTGATGCACATTAATCCTCTTTAAAGAATAACAGGCTGTATTAAAAAATAACTTAAATAGTAATTTATATATACAAGTTTATTATTTTTTCTGTTTTCTTCTGTTCCTCTACCTCAGGTAATGATCTTCCACTCCACTATCTACGGCTCCTGGCCCCGCCCTTGCAGCTGTTATCAGCCGCAGTCTGGCAAGTAGTGCAGCAGGGACTTGTGGACCACTACGGGATGCTGGAGGAGTTTGTTACCATGGTGACGGAAGTGGTCCCAGAGCTGATGAGCTACAGTCAGAGGGCTCAGCTCATCCTGGGACTCAGGGCCAGGGTCAGTCATACTGAGGAGACGCGTGTACTGGTTTTTGATATTTGTTTAAGGTTAAAGCCAAGACAGACAATCTTATTAAGTAGATGACGAGTGATGTGAGTATCGAATCTCACTTATCTACATGTTTATTTCATATATTTCCCTCTAAATCAGGTGTGCATAGTAGCAAGAGGTCAAACACAGCAGACAAACAGAGAAAAGAGCGCAAATATAAAGCAACGTTTGTTTTTATGAACCAGGACCATTGTTTTTGTTTGTGTGCACATCCAGCTGGTTCTGGAGATGTGTCGAGGTGAGCACACGGTGGACATGCAGACCATTCAGCCACATCTGGACAGAATCAAAGCTCCCGTCAGCACAGCCACCGATCACCATGTAAGTAAACTGTTGATGGCAAACACACAGCTGTTTTCCTCCTGGTGTGGAAACAACTGGGTCCGTTGTGACTGACCGAGTCTCATGGGTGTTGGGAACAATTCGTCATTGGTGAATTGGAATCGACTTTTGAAACTCAGCCCAAATCCTTGTTTTCCGTAACCTTGATTTGAGCGTGCGCATGTGTGGGTTTTTGTAACAGGTGACAATAAACCAGGTGGAGGAATCAGAGGTCAACTTTGTGGAGCTGGTGCATTCACTACTGGAGGATACCTCGGAAAGGAAATACTTTTTCCAAGTGAGGCTACGCTCACTCCTTATTGCGTTGTCTTGCTTGAATTTTATCTGATTTGCTTGCTAATCCCACAATGTGTCTTTCTCGTGTTCCTCATTTGCAGGAAATATTCCCTGTGTATTTTGGTCCAAAGTATGATGCTGCACTTGAGATGCTGGTGTGGGAGTTCATATCAAGACTGGAGGAGCTGCTGCCAGTTCCAGACTTCACACAGGTGCCGTGTTTCTTTTATCATCATTTATTACATTACATAAATTGCAATATATTAATAATAATCTACCTTGAATTATGTCTGTTCCACTTTTCTTGAACCAGTCTTGTCTTGGTTGGTGACCAAGAACGCGAAGTCGTCTGTAATCAATTTTGAATCTGTGATGAAGTAAAAATACCACTTCAGAATTCTGCATTGTAATCCTTTAAACACAGTGGTATTTATTTGTTTGAATGTCACATTACATGACGGATACAATCTGTATTTATATATAAAACCGATATAAGTGACCCTGTGACCTTACTCTATTGCTTCTATTGAGGCATTGTTCTGCCATGCTGCTCCTGACATTCATGTTTATGTAACTGGCCCTATTTTAGCTACTGTTAAATCCCTGTTTTGTTACATACCCTCCGCGGTGTTGATGTGGAGCTACCAGTGGAGATTGCCAGCCCCATGTGGGCTGCACTACTTCCCTCTGCCTTTTATTCCTCCAACACAATACACCAAACGCAAAACAGAGAAGTGTGTCATCAGGAAATGGCTCTAGCATTAATCCAAAATGCACCACTATTTTTTCTTAGACAGACTGCGGCACATTGGCCTAGCGCAGCTCATCCGTCTGCACCGCTGACCCCGAGACAGATATCGAGGGTAAACTGGAGACAGGTGCAACTCCGTGTCCCAATGGACTGCTTTGCTCCCCTTCTGTACCAAGCAGCGGCAGAGTAGCAATACAACATGGTCACAGTGGTAGCCATAACATATTATAAAATAAGAAAATGCTTGTTGGGCCATTAGGCTAATTGGTTTTATTTGGGTCAGCTAAGCTGCATGCTGTTCTAATGTTCCTCTTGTTAACTCAAGCTTATAGTAACACAAAAAAGCTGTCTAAAAAATAATACACAACCCGAATAATGATTCATTTTTTATTTGAACTCGCCGTGAGTCATTCAGCATTACAAAAGAGAATGAGTGCAGGATTACTAAAGGTGGTAACTCGATCTTTCTTCTCAGTTGGCAGGATTGCTTGGCGACACTCCGTCATTCCTAGACCAATGTCTACAATCCTTTTTCCCGCCAGAGGACATGAAGGGTGTACTTGAACATCACAGAAACCTCGGCCATTTTGAAGAAAAAGGTACAGTATGCCACCGATTAATTAATTTAGTTTTTTTATCAAACAGCAGAGAAAACTACTAAAGCATTACTTGTAAAAGGACTGAGACGGTAAATATTTTTCTTGTCAGTTAAGTAATGATTGAATCCATCTTATCTAATTATCCTCATTATTTTCTTGATTGTAGATCCTAGATTATTACCAATGGATGACTGCATCCTCTCCTCCCTGTCTCTGCCTCCTGGGACAAAACCTGTCACCAACGGCACCTCATATTCGCCTGCTCTCAGAGACTCAAACCCTCCAGAGCAAAAAGGACCTCTTGACGCTTTCTTCAACACAAGCAGCCTTCAGAGGACGCTCCGGAGGAGCTCTGAGACAGTGAGACAGAGACTGGAGGAGACGAGGGACTCGGGCAGCTGGCAGCTGCAGGTTAGAGACGAGAAAGACTCACTTAGAGCACAACCATGCGACATGACCATAGACCTCACCACGCCGAACGCGACTGCGGACACGGCAGCAGCCAATGACAACAGCCAAAGCTTGAGAGGGGGGCGGGTCCTCAGGAAGAGGAAGCTGAACGGAGGCGTGGACATTCCCGCCAAACAGCCTGCAGACGCGACTGCTTTCTTGTAAGATTTTGTTTTTGATCGGTTGTGGTCAGTAATCACTTCTGTTTTATTTTCATCACTCGTCGTTCCATTTCTTTTTTATGTTTTATTAGGATGGCAATGTCGGCCTGTTGGTCCACCCCATTTGATCAAGACTGAAATATCACTCGAGTTTTTTTTACATATTTCAACATCTGTAAATTATAAGTTGGCAAAAAAGGTTGCGAAAATGTTATTTGTTGCCAGTTTCATGGCTGTAGGGAATCCTTAACTTTTCATCTGCATGTTAGCATTGCAACTGTGAGCATGTGAGGGTGCTCGTCTAAGCATTTAGCTTAGAGCATAACTGTACCAAAGTGTGTTATGGCCCATGTGTGTTGCTTCATGTACTTCTTGTCATTTTAATCCTTTTTGAAAAAATGCTTTTTGTGGAAACTCAGCATTATTTCATGCTCCAAAAAAATCCTTTGGAATCACATTCCTGCGGTCAGGTTTAGAAGAAAAAACTGTAATCCAATCTGTCAATTTGATCATTTTGTGTTTTTTCACCTTTACAGGGATTCGTCAATGGATGATGAGAATTCAGGTGAATCTCCTCTTATCTCAATATGGGGAGAATATACAGGTTTGTGCTCTTTTTTTTGATGGATCAGTGGCAACATCAATCTAAACTTTGGCCTTTGACTAAGTGCTCATTTCATTTTAGACTCTCAGGAAGGTTCTTTCCCAGTTGTGACGGACACAAAGGTCCCCTGGTCGGACGAGGAGACACTCAATCTGCTCGACATCTGGGGGAAGGACTCGGTGCAGCGAGCGCTGAAGGGCTGCTTGAAAAACCGTCACATATTCACGCAGATTGCTCAGAAGATGGCGGAGCGAGGCTACCTGAGAACTGTGGAACAGTGCCAGACCAGGATCAAACGACTGAAGAAATGCTTCCGCAAGAACAACAAGTAGGTGTTAAACGAACTGTCCTCCTTCCCCTCCACTTGTCCTTATGTTATCCACTGAGTTCATCATTATTCCTCTCTTTAAATGTCACAGCTGTCATTTTTTTAAAACAATAAAGAAATCACCTTTTTCCCTTTTCTAACACCAGAAGGAACTCCAAACTGGAGTATAAATTCTACGAGCAGCTGAAGCGGGTACTCGGCTCCTCGGCTGTTCCTGAGGTCACCTACGATGTGGAAGAGGTTATCGATGAAGATGAGTCACAAGACGGCGATGAGGACTTGCAGTTTCTCGGCCATTCGAACCAACTGGGAATCGGTACAATTTCACTTTTAATAGCCGGGTTCCATGTAGAAAGACATCAGAAAAAAAGTGAACAATACAATAGTTTTCCAAAAGAATGCATTCATGATTGCTCATTTTACTCAACCAACATTCCACACCTTAAATATAGTTATTTTATTATCATATGAAAAAAAATACCATAAAATACTCTCATGGAGGAAGCTGCAACTAGAGAATATTTGGTGTCTATTCATGAGAAATAACCAATAAGCATTTCTGCCAATTGATTTTATGTTTTACCAGGTAGATGATTAATCGACCAACTGTTGCGGCGCCAGTTTAGTTTAGTTTTAGTTACTTTTCCTATATGTGCATAAATGGAACAGCCATTAGGGCAACTGTAGGTAAACCTAAATAATATGGGGCTAATATGTTTACATATATAATTTTATATAAGCTTCCCAAAGCACAGAAATATTCAGCATAATATAGTGTTTTGTCAAAAGGACACATTACAGTAAAATGAATACAGTTTCACCGATTGTAACAACAAACAATGTGATTCACATTTTAATATAAGGAACTAGAAGCGTTCCTTGGACAGACATTGAGACGCTGGCCCTCATCAACACGTGGGGGGAAGACCAGATGCAACAGGAGCTGAGGGGAATGCACAGGAACGGACACATATTCTCCATCATATCCAACAACATGGCCGCACAGGGCTTCACCCGAACGCCAGAGCAGTGCCAAACACGGCTGAAGAGGCTGAAATCCAATTTCAGGCAATGCTACCAAAACAAGTATGTATACTTCTACTCGGGAATGAAAGGAAAGGTTTGCAATTTTTTTTTTTCATTTACAGTTTTTATCTGCTCTCTTCTTATCTCTCGACGCAGCTTGAGGGGACAGGAGCAAGTTGAGTGCAAGTTTTACAATGAACTGGGAAGCCTTTTAGTGAAGGACTTTGCTGCGGTGCCAGAGATGGAGGAAATACCAGGAGAGCCTGAAGACAACGATTCACCGCCTTTTTCCCATCAGGATAACGGTAAGCTCTAATGTTCTCTACTGACAGCGAGAGATGAGGGAAGGAAGCTCAGATAACAAGTTGGGGAGCGTTATAACTTCAACAGCAGAATAATAACTTATGATTTAGTGTTACCGTAATGGCCTGCATGGCAACTTCGTCAAAAAGCATCATGACCTATTCAGCAAAAGTAAAACTATATAAAAATACAATGTCGGCAGCAGTAGTAGTGAAGCCGTCATGGGGGAATTAACTCAATAATGTTTTGACATAAAGTGTTTTCATTTTCTCTTTGTCTCTCAACAGAATCTGCTGTGGGCGTTCAGGAGGAACGGAAGAAAGTCCCCTGGTCGGACAAAGAGACCATCATCCTTCTAGAGATCTGGGGAGACCCTCAGGTACAGGAATAGGTGGAATATAAAACTGAATGATGTCATTAATGATCCTGATAATTTGGCAGAACTGCCTCCTTACACCACTTCATCAATTCTTTTAATCATTGAACAGATGGAATATAATCATTTAGGCAGCAATGCAGAGGTCTAACCGTAACCTGAATTGTTTCAAATTAAAGTGAAACTCTTCAGTATCTCTAGAAACACAGAGCTCCAGGAGCAGAAGGACCATCATAAAATTGGCTTTCTAGTCGGAGGAAACTATTTAGAAAAATAATTCTGTACATATTTGCATATGTGCATGCTATCCTCATCAGTCTGATTGTTAAAAGTCTTTTAATATATGTTTCTTGTACATAACCCTATTTTGCTATGAATGTCCCCGCCATTTAGGTCCAGCAGAGCATGAGGCGCACCCCACACAACGGTCACATTTTCACCGAAATATCGGAGAAACTCGCGCGCGACGGCTTCTCCCGCAGCTCGGGGCAGTGCCACACCAGGATCAAACGCCTGAAAGCCAACTATCGGCATTGTCAGGAGACCCTGAAGTAAATTCAGCAACCGAATACTCATTTTGTATGCTGTCGCAAGGACAGCTGTGTGTTAACACGACATTCTTCGCTGCCCGTAGCTCGTCGGGCACAGTCGACTTTAAATTCTACGACCTGCTGGAACAAATCCTGGACAAGCAGCCGTGCACCTCCTCCACTCTGGTGACGGACTCCATTGAAATATCAGAAGACTCCAACGGCGGATCGGTGACTGAGACAGGTGAAAAAGAAGAGAAGCGTTTCATTCTTTCTCACACGCTGTTTTACAGCAGTGATATGGACAAAATGTTGCGTTTCAAATGCTGTACAGATTTAGGCCTAAACTAGAGTCCTAAACTAAACGTTCCTTTAGAAAATGTCTGTGATTGGTATGTGTTAACATGAACGCAGAACTCAAAATGTCATAATCATGGACTCATTGTGTAGTTCTTGGTTGGAGTTTGCGAAGTAAGAAACAAGAATCATTCAAATTCTACAGACAAAACAAACAGTAAGCTGTTAAACGGTGCAGCCGTACTAAGAGTAACAAGTGCCGTGTGTCTGCCGTAAGATGGAGAAATCAGCGCGTCGGCAGAGAAACCGGCCAGTAGCTCTTGGTCTGATGAGGAGACCCTGGCGCTCATCGAGATCTGGGGCGACGAAGACGTTCAGACGGCGCTGAGGGGCTTCGTCCACAACGGACACATTTACGCCGACATCTCGCAGAGGATGAGCGACCTCGGCTACTCCAAGTCCTCCGAGCAGTGCCGCTGGAAAGTCAAGTCGCTGAGGAACAACTTCCGACAGTGCTACGACAAGAAGAAGTGAGCTGGATCTTGCAGCTCGCCTCTTCATCTTTGTGCAAGTGTAATCCGGTGTGACCCTTAACTGTTCATATTCACCGTCTAGATGCGGAAGGAGAGTGGATTACAGGTTCTACCACCAGCTGGAGCAAATACTCGGCGAGGAGGCAGTTTCTATCGATGAGTACGATGAAAAAGACGAACAAGCGGACCAGGAACCAGGTACGAACGTCCTCATTCGTTCGTCGCGGCAGTAGCGCGTTCACGCGAGCGTCCGATCAGCCTTTCTAACGTCGCCCTGAAACAGGTGCGGATGTGAACGCGCCGTGGACGGAGCAGGAGACGGCCGCTCTGGTTGAAGTGTGGGCCGCGGACGAGGTGCAGCGCAGCCTGAAAACCTGCGTCCGCAACGGGCACATATTTATCGACATCTCGGAGAAGATGGCCTCCATAGGGTACCTGAGGTCGGCGGAGCAGTGCCACTCCCGGATCAAAAGGTTGAAGAAGAGTTACCGGCGCTACTGCAACAGCTGGAGGTGAATAAAATGGCCCGCCGGCTAAGATCCAGACCGCCGACTCAGATCCGGACCGCCGGCTGAAATCGAGACCGCCGTCACCGCGCAGGCCGACTGTTTCACAGCTCGCATTTGATTTTTCCTTTTTTTCCCCAGAAGTGGAGCCCGGCCCGCCGTGTTTCGATACTTCCACCTCCTGGCCCCGGTGCTTGGGGATGAGTCCGTGTGCCATGAGGTGGACGGTGCTGCTGCGGACGCCACCTTGCTACCCCTCACGGACAAGGATGCAGACATGTGTAGGTTCCACTGTGATCAATACCTGCGAGTTGTTGTGCTGATGATACCTTTTAAAGATTAAAGGCCAATAATGCATGTGTGGTTCTTCCGCTTAGACGAGCAGCCGTCATCCAGCCACCTCCTGGCTGACCAGAGCAGAAAGATGCCCTGGTCCGAGCAGGAGACACGCACCTTGCTGGACATCTGGGGCGAGGACAGCGTCCAGCTCACCCTGAAGGGCTGCCTGAAGAACCGCCACGTATTTCAGTACATCTCTGAGAAGATGAGTGACGCGGGATTTATAAGGACCTCAGAGCAGTGCTACACACGCATCAAACGCCTTAAACACGGCTACCTCCATGAAAAGTCAGTGGATCATTTCCTCTTTGTTATTGGTTTTGTTGTTAATAGTCAGCTACAAGAGGCAGTGGTTGGTTAAATGTAAAATTCTAGATAATGTTCTACAAATCATGTTTGCTATTTATCGGCCAGTATTAAAAAAATACAGCAAAGTTAACCTTTTAAAACTGTTAAGGTATATGAAATGGATTCTTTATTGTCCTTTCCAAGTAAATGTGTCGCCACAGTCTATACTGAGCCATACATACATGTATTATACACCGCAACATAACAGGTCAAGATTTAAGGGCTTGAGAGTGAAGCCATTAAATGAAGTTGACCCATAAAATGATTTATGATTAATCAAGATACTTTAGCTTTTCCTTTGTATGAGTAGTTTCCGTGAATTTAAAAGATACTTTTTGACTGGAAACTTTCAACAACTTTTATTGTTAAATTTGCTTTGATTCGTGTATTTGTATTTGAAAAACCTTGGGATTTGTTTGGGATTAGCGTTGCCAGCTAATCACACGCTAACTGCCAGTTTATTCACTTTAAATGCAGGGAGGACCATAAATTCTTCAATGAGATGAATGATATCTTCGGGAGGGAGCTGAAAGTGGACGAGTTGATCCAGGACACGTCGGTAGCAGACGAGCCAGATGACTGCAACCAAACAAAAGGTGGAACATAACATTGCATTGATTGATTTTCTCGCTATTGTAGTTTTCTTGTAAACTGTACGGATTTTTGTGTTGTTGTTTTATGTTTTTTTTGAGACGTCCACTCTGCTAGTGACCTCAGGTACCCAGTGGACGGCGGACAGTTCGAAGCAGGCCTGGAGCGACCGGGAGACGCAGGTCCTGCTGGACGTCTGGGGGAGCGAGGAGATCCAGGAGACCTTGAAAGGGTGCACGAAGAACAAGCACATCTTCATCCAGATCTCCGAGGTCATGGCGAGCCAGGGCTACCTGCGCACTCCGGAACAGTGTCAGACCAGAATAAAGAGGCTCCGGGCCAATTTCCGACACTTCCTAGAAGGCAGGAAGTAAGTGACCTTGTTTATATGCTGAGGGTTGTGGTTGGATCATGCTGCTGGTTCTCCTCGTGATAATCTCTGAATTTCTGTTTTCAGGGGAGAGAAACAGGAATGCAAGTTCTTTGAGCAGTTGGTGCAGATATTTGGCAACAAGTACGGAGTGAACTCGGACCCGCTGGCCGACGACGCGGCCGAAGGCGAGGGTAAGGAGCCACATCGCCTCACAGTTGTCCACCTCGTCAAGTGTTATGAAACGGCTTTATCTTATCAGGATGATGCTAAAAAGTAAGATTCATCAATTAGCCCCCGGTCTGATTCCTGTGTAAACTTGTACTCGTCAGATCTGGAGGCCTGAAACTGCCCGTCCTCGTAGTGTCAAATCACGCTGCAGAGCCACCAAGGGACATTTGGAAGATCCGGACGTGGTGAAGGGAAAAACAAGGACACTGTTGAAATAAAAAGCTATGAGTTCGCAGTTGTTTACAAATGAAATTTGCCTCTGTACTTGTTTCAAATACTTTTTCATATTTTCACACACACAGGCTGTAGTGTGTGTGTGTGTGTTTGTGTGTCTGTACGTCTGTCCTCCAGAGTGTCTTTGTATTATTTACAATAGAGCCATGAAACTAAAACCAGGAAGCTCAGGGCTCGAGGGAAAACCAATTGTTTCTGATCTTGATATATAGAGGGAGTCACAGAAAATACTGTTTTTACTGTATTTATTTATTTTGTACTAAAAGTGTGGGTCAAAGCACACGCACAAAGAAGGAAATATACGCGAGGCCTCTTGTACTGTAACCACAGCGTACATTTGCTTTTAGGTTGTGATTTAGGGTTCATATGTTTAACCATCGTCTTTGCACTTGTTTTAAAATGTTTGAATCTGAGTGGTGTAAGTTGAATTCATGAAACCAATTCTTATTTTTTACACTGTATGAGTTGATCTTACCCTGGATAATATTTATGTAAATTATTGTTTAAGCATGTGTTCCAAAGTTTTACAATTTATTTCAAATATGTTAAGCTTCTTTTCTTATTAAAGCACATTTTTTTCCACAAACATGTCTTGGTTTTGTCCTACACATTAAAAAAAGTTCAAATGTTATTGAGAATTCATTTCTGGGATTTGTTGAGACTATTACTAGTCACTAAAATCATAAGAGAAACATAATTATAATAAAAGTAAAGAATAAATAAAAATGCAGTCAGAAGGTGAACGTGAAGCATTAACAAATATACAGTCAACTTGAACCTACAGAGCATTTATATCTTAAAGTGTATAATCAGTGACATGAAGCTGATGGGTTACTGCTAATAGGTGATGTACTATCTGTAGTCTAAATTACTACAAGCACCTTGTTTGACATTGTCATCGTGAAACATCCATTGTTATTAGAAATGACCAATTGAATAGACTTTAAAGACCTGACATCTTAAATGACATGTAATCAATTTAGAAATGAGCGGAAAATGTGTATTTTTCTTACAATTATTTATTGGCCCACGGCAAAGAACCTTTTATTATTCATCTCTCTTACCCAAACTAAGACCACACCGACATCGCTGCAGCTTTCTGTTGATCCCCCATCATTCCAGTTGTCCGTCTGTTATTATTGTTGTTCTCTGATGACCACCAGTGGATGTAAACAATTCCATGTTTGGACACCTGACGTATCTACTGAATCACATTTTCTCTTAAAATATTTTCTACTCTGTAGTTGAGACACAAATTAAAAAATATCTTTGGGACGTTTGCGCTGCATCTCTCACACGTTGCCCACTGGGTGGCGCTGGTGGATAATAAGTCACTCCACAGTGACTAAAACAGTGTGGCAGAGTGAACAGCACATAATTTACACTATATAACCAACAATGTGTCAATAACCAAGCAGGAGAGCAGTGTAGCAAACACAAACACTCTACATGTAAGACACACATCCAGTAAGGAAAGAGACAAACAGAAAGCGCACAAAAAGCCAGCTCAGTAATTACGTGTCTAAATCTGACAAAGCGTCCAACCACCAATGTCTGGCTGCCAGTGTGTGCGTGTCTGTGTGTGTGCTGTACGCGTGTGTGTGTGTGTGTGTGTGTGTGTGTGTGGAACCATGTATGTACTTGCGCTTGTGTGTGCAACATTGGTGAAGGCAGAGACAGGATGGCTGGAATCTTTTAAGGCACACGCGCACACACACACACACACACGTACCACACACAAGAAGGCCGAGCAGTGCCACATCACCCACCTGACCATCACACCCTCTTTTCTACACTCATGTTACATGTATAATGTAAATATCAAATGTAATATAATAGATATAAATGCTAATATCAAATCTGACTAAGTATTGATTATTGTAAGTATGTTACACACACAAGGAATTAGTCTTTTTAAAAGGTGCTTTTTAACAGTCTGTTAAGATAAGGGTATATTATGAAAGCTGTAAGGGAATTTCAATTCAATTATCAAAAAGACCTGCAGAAGTGTGTGTCTTTACAACATCACAGTAACAACTTGTCGGGGTCTGTTGGGGTTCTAAGTCTTCTTAATTGATACAACGTGTAATACAATTAATTGAGTCCATGTAACTGCACTTTTTGGTTAGTATGTTTATGCACAAATTTATATATATAATGTAGTGTTTAGTTAAAATTCACCACAGTGTTCAGACTGTCTATAAAGACTAAAATCCTTAACGGCACTGCCAGCTAACATTCACTTCAGTTGCCTCTCCCCAGTGATACTAATAGGTCACAATGTGTCACGGGTGCAAGCTATATTGAAACACATCTGCTCCACTTTAGGTATTTCCGTTTTACTTTTACTTCCCAACTTCCCAGAAAGAAATTATGTATTTTTAGACTCAACAGCATGTGTTACTTTTATCTGAAGCTTCTCAATACATCTTTCACCGCCGCTTTCAGTTAATTGGTATTCAGCGTGATATCTGCACTTTCTGGGCCTCCAGCCTGAGATATTTCCCAGTTTCCTCCTCTCCTTTCTCTCTGTTTTTTCTATTAGGCATCTCCTTAAGAATTAAAGGAAAAAGTTAAAGAGCATGAGAGGATGGTAATGCCGACATGTATCGGGTCATCTACGGTTCCCCTCTCTTTTGTCTGTGTTTCTGACTCAGTATACCAGTTAATTCTGAAGTCTGCAACAGAGGGGGGCATGGCAGGGGTTGTGCAACATGCAACTGAGTCATTCCTCCCTGAGGGCAGACATTTTCACCCAACTTCATTACTGCAACAGGCAGGCTCACGTTCTCTCTCTCTCGTTTTGTGTGTCCATCCTGCTACGTTCTTCTCTGCCTCCCACCAGAGACACACACGTGTGAGAGGCAGAACATAAGGCAGAAAGGAAGGAGGTTTTTTATCAGTTAGCAGTGGTTGAGAAGTCAAAGAACACACATGACAAAGAAGAAAGATGGTATGCGTTCATGTGTGTAGGCGTGTGTGTGTGTGTGTGTGTGTGTGTGTAGGGAGCCTCCCTCCTTCGGGGTTGTGCATGGGCTTGTTACAGCGACATTCCTCCGCTCAGCTGCTTCTGAGCAGCACATTCCAGAAAGAGAGAGACAGAAAGAGAAAAGAGAGCGAGTAAAAGGGTAGAGAACATTAGGAAGAGAAGAGGGGGGAGATAAAAGGGAGGGGGTTGGAACAAAGGGGGAGTTGGAGACGAAGGAAAAGAGAGAAGGGGTAATTAAGGCAAAGAGGATAGACGGCCGCGAGTGGCGAGGGAAGAACGAGAGGATTTTGATGTAATATGTAATTGATGCCTGTTGTGAACCCTTTTCTCCACAGAGAGGTCAAAGGTCAGGGTCAGATCCAGTACAGAGAAAACAGGAGCCGCGCTGAGAAAAGGAAGTGACACAGAAGGGGCTGGATCTCAGGAGGTCACAGGGTCTCTTCTTAAAATATTATCCCCCCAAATAACCATAACACATACTTGCTGTGTGTTCATCTCTTCAGTCTGCTTGACCTGTTCCCACTGAACTGTGCAAGAAAAGAAACAAATCTCCCCACTAACACAGGCACACAAATTCAGCCATATTAGGACCCTCCTGGAGACAGATTTTATATGAACACAAATGTAACACCAGGACCGAACTCGTCTCGCTTTAATCTGTCAGTTGGAGGATTTATTTGCTTTAAAATAACAAAAGAAATGTTGTAGCAGAAGTGATCAAATGAAAACCGAATGTCCCAGTAACCGCTAGAACAGTTCCCTCTGCACATAATTATTATTACTAAATAAAGATTTCAGCCTATAAATACGAATTAAGATAAATTAGACATTGATACAGTGAAGTAAGAAAGGCCAAACATTCTCTCGTTGCAGCTTCTCGTGTGTTTGTTTGTGTGACACTCACCTGAATACATTTTTGCGTTTTGGACTGTCGGTTGGACAAAAGATATAAATGTGTGCCCTCGGGCCCGCGTTATGTGTGTTTCCTCCTTCTTGTTAATGTTCACGCTGTTGACTCAAAGTTCACTTTATTTCCATCCCAGAGACGAACAGAAAAGAGAAAACAACAATGGCTGGCTGTGTTGGAGGCTCCGTTATCAGACGGGGCCATCAACTCTGTCTGGTAAATGAAGAGAGAACTAAAACCACAAAAATAAAATATAATGTAGCGAGAATAACAAGCAAATACGTTGAAAGACAAGAGCAACAAAAAACGGTTTGTGTGTGAAAGCTTGTTGGCTCCGTGACAGCGTCCCCTTCTCCTTCTCCCTCTTCCTCAGACTGAATAGATGCGTTTGTTTGTTGTCACTGGTAGAACTAAAGGAAAACAATGTCACTCGTTTCTCCGTCTGCAGTGTGTTTATCTGAAGAAAGTTAATCAGGCATAAGTGTCTATTGAGTTTCTGTCCGCCGGATGCTCTATCCAGAATACCAATTCACCATTTGCTCCTTTCTCTTCTCTCCATCTCTGTCTTTCTCACCAATTTGTCAGTTCCATGCAAATTAAATTTGCATACCGTAACATTGTTGGAGAACACCAATTCAGTTAACAAATGTGAAAGAGTTTGGGTCTATTTCAGGATGCATTTTAATCCAGGTGATAAATATTTACTGATCTGCCGTTAACTTGTTTTTTATGCTTCACGTATCTCTGAAACAACCAGTATTTTCATAATATAATTTATGGCCGTAGAATGAACACACAATTTGTCCATATACATTTGTTGTAAAAATCTTTTACATTTGAGAAGAAAGAATTGAAAGGAATTATCTTTGGTATTATATATATATATATATATATATATATATATATATATTTGGCAGTTCATCCCATATTGAAACACACACAGAACACATAACATTGGCATTATTGGCATTATTCACAACATGACTTTTAATGAAAAACATTATTACTGGATATGTATTTATATAATTACACAATTACACATCAGTATACATTCCAATATTAGACTCACAACATATATCATTTATTATTTTGGATTTTCTAGGTAATTTGTTCACAATTTGTTAAACTTTCAAAAAACGTTGTTAAGCACCAACGTCGCCGACGAAGCGCGTCAAAACGACAGACACACATCCTATCCAATCAGATTTGTTTGTTTGACAAGGATACACCCACATTAGCCAATGGAAATGCAACGTTTGTTGCCAGATGTCCAATCGCACACAGCTATAAACTGGAAGGGGAGGACCTTGTTCGCCCCCGGCTTTGCCCACTCCGGATGTACCCCACTAGCGAATAACTAGCAGCAGTGTGTGTGAATGTGGCAACCGAGGTAGACAGGGAGGGGTAGATCGACTGACCGGACAAGGTTTTTTTTTTGTTGTCTTCGTCCTTTCTTTTTCTTTTCTCACAGTGCCAAGTGTGTGCTCTTTCTGTGACGCCACGGCGGTAAACTTGCCCATAGACGTGACCGCCCGGCTGCCGTCGCTGCTCCTCGGGACGAACCGTTGTGAAAACAGCCCAGAAGAAAGAAGAAAAAAAGGGAGAAACAACATGGGGCGATAATAATAAAAAAAAGGTGTTGTGGTATGGATCGACGATGAGTCTTTGGGAGGATCCGTAACGCTTATTTATTTTTATTTATTCCCGCCCCAATTCCCTTATCCTGCTGTTCCTTTTTTTTTTGTTTAATTTTTTGAAATTTTCTCCTCCCTTCCTCATTTGGGAGGTTTGCTATTTTTTTTTCCAAGAAGGGAACAAGGCAACAGGATACGCTACAAGAGGACTGAAGGATGGACCAAGCCGGCATCCTGAGAAAGTTTATCCAGGGGGTGAAGGCCATGAGCGAGGGGGACGAGGAGAGGGGAGAGGACAACTTCGGCAGCGACTTTATGGTGGGTCCACAATTTACACGAGCTCACCCAGCGTCATTTACCTGTACACCCACCTCAGCCAAACCTCCCACATCCCCCCCTCCACCATCATATCCCACCCCGGGGCCGCCACGCTGCCCTCTTCCTCCTGCCCCGTTTCTAGGCTTCACACGGCGGCCTAGCGTTGTCCGCCAAACCACAGATACACCACCGGCTCCTAATGGAGGAGACACCTTCACTTCTTCCTCTCCCGGGGGGGTTAAATGCTGCGCTAAAGCACAGTCACTGTGGCTTACTGGTAGCCGTGATGTCCTCTGTCACACTCACAGAGCAATGACCGAGCTGAGCCTAATTGTTGTGTATTATTTCCCACGGTCCCTACCTGCGGTGTGCCTGTGCATCATTGTGCTTCAGCCCATTGCTAGAAATGTCTATGACATATTTACAGAATGGCTGCATGGTAGGTTACGCAGTGGGGGGGGGTTGGACATGGTTTGGTCGTGGATGAGTTGGTTCAAAGCTTTTATCTACTAAATCTAGTTTGTCCCATCTGTCAGTTTATCGCGCCTTCGTGATATAAATTGGGTGCACAACTGTATAAAGCAATCAAATTCAACTGCCCCAAAGTCCAGCCTCCTGGACGACCACGGTGATTCAAGTTTAAAGCCTAACATAGACTGCATGAGGGCTGGAGGAACTGGCAACTGTGTGTATATTTGCCCAGGGACACCAAAATCCTTATCTGTCCCTCCTCTCTCTTGTTGTCCCCTCCATAGTTTTGGGCTGCGAGATGCATCCTGTTTGTGAACACAGAGGTTATAATTCATAATATAGCTAATTCTATATTACACTATTTTGCTATGTCTACTACTTTCTGGCACATAGAAAGAAACATTTATTGTTAAATATTGACACCATATTTAGTTTGCCTTGTAACGCCCGCTGACCTGTTGTCGTACCCACAATGCATCCCTGGATGTTGCGATTTCTCGCAATAGTTCTTGATCCAGGCTTGTGGAGTTGCGTAAACACGCCGCTTCTGTAATACCAATTGCTAAACTATTTGGTCACACGAGGTTCACGCGGTTTTGATCGGGATACGTTAGGAAATGACGTGCAAGCTGCGAGATACGAGCACTTTTCATTTCAGTCGGAGAGAAACTGGCCTCAATTACTGTTTAACTGGATTGAATGTTTGGATTTCCTTTTCTGATTCTCATCATGTCACAAGTTAAATGTCGGTTTGTTTTCTTGTACTGTTGATTGTTTGTGAAAGAGGCGAATGTGTGTGTGGGATAACTCTTTATTTTCTCTCTTTCTCTCTCACACACACACACACACACACATACTTCTTTCTCCTTACTTCTCTACTTCATCCGAGCTGCTTGCTGGAGCTTGCAACATTCTTTCTTGGCCTATTTCATAACATTTGGTCCTGGCATTAAACCTAGAGCTTTATCAACTCCTGGGCTCACTTTGGATAAAAGCCTCACAATTTGTCGAGCTTCTCACGCCAAAAATAGGACTGTGACAAATTCTAAAATAAGGAAACCTCTGCTTGTGTGTGTGTGTCCTCTTGTGCCAATGGTGTGAAGCGTATTAAACAACAATACGAGGTCGTGCTGTGTGAGAGGCTTTGAGTGCTTTATGGATGGACGTGTCTGTGATCGCATCTCTGATATTAAAAGGACATTTCATTGGCCCCGTCAGTTCTTAACGTTGAATCTTAACTTCTTTACGTACAGTCGTCAGGGGGCGAAACGCGGTTTCTTGCATAAGCAGCGCCGGACCCCTCATTCATAACTCCATAGACATCTTGTCAGACCGCCTGCTTACAGACGCAGTGCTGCGCCGTCTGCCACTGAGAGGAACCACAGGAGAGGTGATCTTACTGCGTGTGGGTATGAAACTAGGAGCGGCTTCTATCAATCCTCCCGAAGAAAAGAAAAAAAAAAACCTTTCGCCCTTGTTTTAAGATCCAAAATCCCCTTTTTTTCCCTAAAACATGGCGACCACCACCACATGCTCGTCATAACTTGATCCTTTATGGGTCGACTATTCAGTCCCCCCTTTTAAAATTAGCTTTATTGCCATGGAACACAATCATTCTTTTCTAGAATGAACAATATTTCCTGTTAGGCTTTCGGCTATTAGACATCCCTCCGGACAGTAACATGACTATGGAGCCCCTCGTGTAAGCAGCATCTTTGTGCCGTCTGAAGTCTCTATGACTTCAATTATACATTGTGAATTGAATTAGTTAAATACTCATTTATTTTATGGTAATCCAGTGGTTTTTGTGCTTGTAAACACAACTAGGTTGACTGAATTCACGTTAATGAGGCTTTGAGCTGAATTTGCTTTCGGGTGGCAACACCTGCCGGTGAATGTAGTTTCATCTCCATTATTCATCAGCTGGTCGACGAGAAAAACATGTTCTGTTTTTCAGCACAGGTGTTGCGGGGGGGGGGGGGTCACCGTACCGAGCGCAGTTGAGACTCGGTTGGTCTGCCGCACTAATTTCGAGCCTAACGTGAAGCTCTCAATTACTGGAGTCGAACTCTACAATGCCTGGAGCGCACAGGGCGTGGAACACTGAGTCACCACAACGCCCTGACATGACACCCGCTCCTACTGCTTATTGTTGTTTATATTTAGAAAGGGATTTATTGGCATAATTACAACGTGCTGGAAAGGCCACAAGTCAAGTGTTCTAATGCTCCTTCTGCAGCTGTTTGATGGAACAGGAAGAATTTTCATTTCCTTTTTTCTTTGCCTCTCCGGCACCCAATTGTAAGAAGTCTCATTTATTTTTACAACACAAATCAAACGGCGTGTTTACGGGCAGAGAATTAAAGGTTGTTTTACTTTATTGCTTCTTTGCAGTCTTTTTGTTGTTGCTAAGCAACCACCTAATGCATGCATGTCAACGTCAGCTTGCCCAAAAAGATGAACTGTACCCCAACCAAATTTTAAAAGTAGAGTTGAAATGAATAAAAATAACTCCCCTGAAAGTGAGAAAGTACTGCTCTTTCCGGCTGCAGTTTCCTGAGGGGTGAGGGAAGTCATATTGGTGCTATTGTCGGTTAAGTCATATTGGTGCTATTGTTGGTTAAGAGATGATTACTTTTTATTTTGGACCCTTGAGGCGTTCAGTAGTTGGCATTGTTTATTTCCATTTAACTTCAAGAGGTTCATGTTCTTAATTAAATAAGGAAATGCTCAAGTACCTAATTCAACAGTCTACACAAAGAGGCCTCCCCATGTTTTTCTTAATCAAATAAGGAAATACTCAATTTACAATTTATTGAACTACCATTAAACATGCCAAATTGTAATATATTATTTTTGAGATATCAAATGACCAATGTCCTGGTTTTGGCCCCAATTTTGTCCTTGTATATTTTTCTATAATTTCTTTCTTGACCAACCACATTTTCACAGGGTGGTATTCGGTAGCACCAGTTACATTACTAGCTAGCTTCCAGCTAAAAACACATTAAAGAGCAGACCGTGAGCTATGAAGGGTGACCGATCCCTCTGGTCGGAGAACAGAATCACAAATCATCTCATGTCTCCATTGCTTTTTTCCCCCCATCAATGCAATGAGGCGTTAAATGCTGCAATCAGACCCGTCCAAAGTTATATTGCTGACTCACAAATCTGTCTTTGTGGAAAAGGAGCCCATCGATGGGCAGAAGCTGCCTGCCGCCGGGGAGACTGAGCTTCGCTCCTCACTTTTGATGCGTAGCTTTCCGTGGGAGGATTTTATTACAGCGAAGAGACAGAATCGATCTAGAGACACTGTTCTTTAAAAGCTCGCTCGCTTTTTTTTTGATCGGATATAAGAAGTGTGACTTAATAGCGTTCAGGCGTCAACCGAGTGACGTGTCGTAGGAGTAGAGTTCAGCTCGAGACGGGTTGATCGAACAGCCAGCTGTTGACGGTCATACGAGCTGCTGGGTCGGAGGACAACCGCTCCGGCCTCCATGTCGGATGTCTCCTTTTTCTGGCTGCGGTTAGTGCTGTTAGCACCGTTAGCTGCCAACAGCCGGATCAGCCGCTGCGTTTGGTGAAGTTGAGAGGCGATAGAAAGGCTCTCGATTTCTTAAATAGCACCTTTTATATTTTTTTAGAACTTATGCAAAATCGTACTTGTTGTCAAACACGGAGCCGAGAACCATTTTCTTTTCCAACGCGTTGCATTTCTTTTGGCGTCTGTTCTCGAGTTCCCACGTGGCACGCGGACTGACATGCGCCTGTCAACAGATGCTCCGCTATTGCTACTCAATGATGACATAGAAGGAGATACTCTTGCGTCCTTTTTTTATGGAGGTGTAAAAAAAACATTTCACAGATCCAGTAAATGTAGCTTGGAGGCGGTTCGAGTTGGAAACGGATGAAAGAAGCACAAAGTAAACCAACCACAAGGGCCAAAAAAAAAGAATCTGACCGACCGTCACCCGTGTCATGCGTGACGTCGATTATGAATACAGTGGCATTGGTGCACAGTCTCAACGCTGGTGTCGACATTGTTTCCTTAGACCGGTTTCAAACATACGTGATCAACCAATGTTCGTTGTGTTCCCTCCCTACTTTCGTTCCCAAGCCACGCATCAAAAAAAGCAAAAGAAAATTGCCGACACAATGGCTTTGCTAAACGTGCGTCCCGCTGGGCAGACTTCAAACACTTGGGGGGAGGTTGGAAAATGAGATGTGATGATGCCTTAAATGCTTGTGTGTTGTGTGTAACAGCTATTTCCACAGTTCCCCACCCTCCTCACACTAACAAACATCGCACTGGTCAGGGATGCAAGAAGCCCATTTGTGGTCAAGTGCCAGTTTATAACTTGTGTTTTTGGAGCGGAGTGGACTTAGAGGTTGTTCAGAGTTCTCTTGGATTCACTCGGCTGAGGGAGTGAAGTTCAACGCTTTAAGTTTCAGTAAATCTCTTTAAGCAAATCATACAGTCTATGTTTGCAATTTGGGGTTTTAACTGTCAGAAGCTTCCATTGCCGGCT